CCTCTACGGCGGGGATCGAACCCGCATTTGCAAGGCTCATCACTTCTCGACTTGCGTGCTCTACCACTGAGCTACCGCAGCGTCTTTTGGAAGTTTTAACAACTTTAAATTATTATAAGTAACTTGTTTTGCGACTTGGCGAAGGGAAGGAATGAAAGCTGAATATTATTGCTGAATAGGAAAGGAAAATGCAAATATATATATAAAAAAAAGGTTTCAAGTTTTACAAAAACAAAACAAATAATTTTTTTTTATATGAAGTCTACGATGAAGGCTGGAGATAAAGAAATATTGAACAAAAACACTTAATAATAAGTGTGTATATATGCAGCAGTGTTTAATGTCATGATTAGTTCCCATTCATATGGGGGAGCGAAAACACGTTGGGGATGTGGGATTAAGGGAAGATGCCCTTCCGAACTCCCCGCGGTAGAGTCAAAGTATTGTTAGTCGCTTCCCGACTTGCAATAATAATAATAATAATAATAATAATAATAATAATAATAATAATAATAATAATAATAATAATAATAACTGAGTAAGAGAAAAATTATCTTCATAGTGTGTGTGTGTGTGTGTGTGTGTGTGTGTGTGTGTGTGTGTGTGTGTGTGTGTGTGTGTGTGTGTGTGTGCTATTAGAGCAATTATTTTTTCCCGTGTTGAAAGGGAGCTTTCGTTGCCATGACAACGCCTTACGGTTTCCTAGAAATAGTTAATTTGCTTTATATTCTCTCTCTCTCTCTCTCTCTCTCTCTCTCTCTCTCTCTCTCTCTCTCTCTCTCTCTCTCTCTCTCTCTCTCTCTCTCTCTCTCTCTCTCTCTCTCTCTCTCTCTCTCTCTCTCTCTCTGTAGTATAATGTTTACATGATATATATTAACACTGGTAGAGATTCAGTTATTATCATCATTATAATTATTATTATTATTATTATTATTATTATTATTATTATTATTATTATTATTATTATTATTATTATTATTATTATTATTATTATTATTATTATTATCTTTACCATTATTAAAGGGTCGCCAAAATTCTTTCCACTGTTCTGATTGGGTCGACCACAAGGTAAGGGAGAAGGATCTTTTACAGTGAAATTCGGCGGCCATTACCAGTTTACCTTCACCGCTTCATCTCATGGCAACCCCAGCCACACCCTTCCGTCTCATTTACAAGACTAAACAGGTGAATGAAATCCCATTGGCTCACCTAAACTGCTCATAGTCTCTTCCACTTATCTCTTGCACTCTCTCCTCCCTACTACATGGATATACCACGTGCACCCGACATTCTTTTCACCTCATCCTTCCATCTCATTCTAGGTCCTCCTTTCAGACTTACTCCATTTACTTCTGCTCTCCACACTCTCTTTTCTAGTCGTTCCTCTCTCATTCTCTCCTTTTGCTCAGTTCATCTCAGGACTCTGTGGTCTAACTTATCTGATAGCTTTCTTCCAACATTTCTTCATATCTCACTCTAACTATTCTTGACTCTTTTCTTATACTTCTCAAGCACATCTCTTGTAATTCATGTCTTTGGTCCATGTAATTACGTTGGCACATTCACTCCTTCATATGAACTTAACATTGCTTTCATTCCTAAGTACTTATTTCTCATCACACTTTTCATCGTACCTAGATATACTTACCTCCTTCACTCTTTAGCTCACCTCTGCATCCACTCGTCTATTTACAGCCACATGCAACTCCAAATACTTGTAACTCTCAATTTCCACAATCATATCCCTGTTCACTCTCAAATTCAACTTGCCATAATCGACATTCATCATTCAAATGAGAATAAATAAAGCATATATGCAATATGAACGCAATTATAAACACACACAGACTTGCTTGCACTCGCCAAAAGAGAACAATCACCAGAGCAGGAGCTAATCAACGAACAAGGAAATAATTAACTCTTTCCTTCTACTCCGCTCCCCACACACGAACGCAATTGGAACTGATTAAAGACTGGCATATGCCTAGAAAACAAACATGGCATTAGTGCCATTTCATTACCTAGGTAAAATGTGTCCCATTTTATTTTCACTTCTATTCATTTCCCTTCTGTATAATTCCATTTTTTTTTCTTTTCTTCTCGTTACTAGAAATGTATGTATTGACTTCTGGTGAATGTGTACTTTGATTTGCCCAACCCCTTGTAAGGGGGATTGTGGCCATTGTATGTGTATGAGTGTTACCAATATATATTGCACTTTGTAATGACGTTGATTAGTTTTTATTTTTACTGTTTTTGTCACGATGGAAGGCTTTGATTTTTTTTTATACCGAATTTTAACACCAAAAACTTTTGTAGCGTGTTTATGCTCTCAGTCATTTCAATTTAAACGATTAAATAATTTTTAGTTTCTAAAATATTAATATCAAACTATCTGGCTTTTGTATATACGTTCGGTATTTTATCATTATTTAATAAATTATTATTTTTGTGTGATACCGGGATGGCATAGAGTTACCAAGACTCAAGATGAAGAAAGAGAAGGAGAGATAGGGAATGTTGTCTCTCGTCAGATGTGAAAGGATAGTAAGAGATGTGTATAGGATGCACCGGAATATTCAGTGTTAATGTAGGCATAGAAAAATAAATATAACTGAAGGAAGACTTACGATCGAACTCTCCTGACCATGCCTATGTAGTTCCTAAGGACCTTAGTTTAAGGCCCCTTTCACACCAAAGTGGCACATCGCACGTGACATGCCTATGTGGCACGCCAGTTGAAAACGAACTTCCGGAACTATATAAAACCTTTCACACAGAAGTGGCGTGGCAGTATATATAGTATTTAGTTTTTGAATTTTTTGTGTAATTGCAGTACTTTTTCATCACAAAACTATATCATATTAGTTTTTTACTTTTGATATAATTTAATATCAAGGCTCGAGGCCTTTGCCTTTTGCATTTAATTCAATACTTATTTTCAGATTCAAAGATATTTCTGACTCATTTTTACCGCTGCAAATTTTTGCAATTTGCAGTCACTACAATACTTTATTCAGTTCGCAACTATATAATTAATGTCTGTTTGTATGTCTTTTTTTTATTATTCTTTTGGCATTCATTTCTACACTTGAAATAAGTGCCAGAACTATTTAGCTTTGAAACTACTTCAGTCCCTTTTCATTACAATACTAATTAAGTCTTGATTCTTTGTGGGAGGAAAATAGAAAGGAGCCTCTTGCTCTTAGCCATTTATTCGACTTTTACGACACGCAGGGGATCACGGGAATGTATTCTTGCCACCCCTCTCAAACTTTCGCTTGACTCAGCCATCCTCCTTATGCAGAGATTAGGGTTCTTCTATATATATATATATATATATATATATATATATATATATATATATATATATATATATATATATATATATATATATATATATACTAATTAATTCTACTATCCTGTCCCTTCTTATCACTATATATGAATACCAGAAGTTTTTTTTTTTCTTTATTTATTTTCAGTGTTTTTTTTTTTTCTCTCAGAACATTATCATTACACTATTAAGTATATAGAGTTAGAAAAGTGCATAAGGAAGTTTTTGGCCAGCTTATCCCCCCAGACGCCATCTTGCCTCTTTTCCCGTTCATGTTATCTGTCTTTCATCCTGCTCTGCTACAGTGCCTGTTCAATTTTAACTTCCATAAAAATCAATAGAGATTGATGCCTTGACACAGTGTGCAACAGCAAGAAAGCTAGAGGCATTGAGTACGCACCTAGAAGTAATATGGTATTTTCTTTTATTGGGGGTTGGCCAAACTCTTCCATCTACATATCTTGATCTAGTTTCGTTCCCATTTCTGGCACTGATTCCTAATACTAGAATCTTTGCATAGAGGCAATATGGTACCTTGCTTTCACCAAGCATTGCCTAAGTCTTCTCCATCTGCAACTCTGATTCCAGTTCTCTTCCCTATTTTTGTCACTAATTCCCAGTATGAGAATTTTTTTTATAGAGATAATGTGGCACCATGCTTTGACCAAACATGGCCGAAGTCTTCTCGATCTACAGCTTTGATTCCAATTTTCTCCTTCATTCCTGTCACTGACTTCTGATACCAAACTCTTTTTGCTTAGATAGAGGCTACGTGGCACCTAACTGTACTAGCCTTCTGGTTAGTACAGTGGTAACGCGCTGGCCTCGCATTCGCGAGGTTGACAGATCGGTTCCCGTTCAGGACCGAGAGTTTAAGCTGTTTACTGGGAAGGTTACTCCTGTGGTTGAACACCACAGTGGGGGGTTGGGGCTTGCACCGGCTGACGCCCGCCAGAGCAGGGGCGATGCCTCTGATAGGAGGGCTAAAACCGCAAACTTTAACTTTTTTTTTTTAACTTTGACCAAACAAGACCCGAGTTTTTTCCATTTATGGCTCTGATTCCAATTTTGCTCTCTACTCCTGTCACCAATTACCAATACAATAATTATTTTTTCCATTTGTAATTACTTGCCTCCTACCTAATCTATGTTGCTCTGTAATTGACCTCGAGGGCTAATTGCGTAATTCATCAAGAAATTAAATAAAAAATGGATTGCGTCATTTCCATTATTGCAGAATGACGCGATTGCATTTTCATTTTCTAAGTATAATTTTTTGGGGGTTGTGATGTTCATCAATTAGGGTTGTTGACAGATTGCATTGAAAGTTCAAGGTCTGATTAAAAGCAGGGGCAAGGGACAATGAAAGCACTAGAACCGACTATATACTTACCATATAGCCGGTGCCAAAGCACCTCGCCAAGCATGTGGACCCAGTGATCTCCAGATAAGGGATAAATAATTATGTAGAACTGTAGGAAATCACCGATCCCCAATTAATTGCCCATTTAGTTAGTTACGAAGAGACAGTGAAAGCTTATCCAACCTTGGGTCAGGGTTGAACTAAAGGTTAGTGTATTACCAGCCTCAGTTGGTACCACTGCTCCACAATATTAACATATGCTAGTAGATATCCTTGTTGTATTAATAGCATTCTTAAATCATTCTATGCATGTTTTCTGACTATTCACTTATAAAAAAAAGCTCATTATCATAAGTGTAAACATGAAACATATAAATTGCAG